TAGCAGCTGACACTTCAGAAGAAACTGTGGCGTTTTTCCCCTGCAGCTAAGCTGCAGTCCTGAGCAGTATTTGATAAGAATCTGAGCTACTCAGAGGTAGAGATTTTTGGAATTCTGCATCAAGAGATAGTTTAAAATCCTCTCCCTCACCTTCCTTTCACAGTTTAGTTTCTCTATATAAAAAGGAAAAAGGACAGAAGAAGGAAAAGATGACTAGCTGAAAAGGAGATCGCAGTCTTTGACCTCCTTTGCTGCTAATACGCTCTGTATTTTGAAGAAAATACACTTACATATTATTTTTACTTACAGTCTTAAAATTAAACAAGGAAGAGTATTGCCTCCAAAGTTCCATTCAAAGCCATTTAGTACAATGGTAGAAAATATGCAGATATATACAAATGAAATAGCATTGCTGTGGGGAAAAAAAAAAAAATCCCACTAAATTGTTTCTCTGTCCCATTTTGGACAAAGTTATAACTCTGAAGTTCCACTACACTGACTATTTTCCACTTGGGTAGACAGATTACTCCAAATGTGTATTGTGAGATCCTCATACTCCCAGCGATGAATCGCTGGAATAAGAAAACACACAAATGCACTTACAGGAGGACAAAAAGTACAACGTAATACTAATCTATTTTAGATTATAATTCTCTTGTTTACCAAGTTGTTCTCACTTTTTTATAATTTTCTCTTTTCAAAATCATATATACCATCTCAAAATTCAGAGTAATAACTGAGTGTGTGCATGTGTACGTAAAAAACAAATCGACCACACAAAAAAACCCCAAAAGGTAAGAGAAAAGGGAAAAACCTGTAAAGTACAAAGCAACAGATATTTCTACTGCACACAAAATGCACGTAAAGGAGTAAATTCATTAAGGAGGATGCTAGATGTATGTGATTCTTCAGCCCTAAAGTGAAGATACAAGAACCAACGAACGGTTCTTGTCAGTCAGAAATCCTCCACCTTCATCATTGCAAAAAATTCTTACTCAAACCATCTTTGTGCATTAAACAACTAATCTAATAATAAAGGTTATGAATTAGAGTAAAAACGAAAGAAATAAAAAAAATCCTGAGAGTAATTTATTGAGATTAGTTTACTGTCAAAATGAGAGATGTCCAAAGTAGATTCTGAAGGGGATTGTTTTATGTCTGGTGAATTTGAGATTTTTCATTAGTGACATGCTTTATGGAATAGCAAAATACGCCCACTATCTTTACAGACAAAATCAAGCTGGGGGAACTGTAAGTATACAGGAGTAAAGAATTAGAATTTATTTTTTACAAACTTGAGAGTTAGTGGGGCAAAAAAACCAAACCTCACACACTTTCCACCAGATACATGTATAAAATTCTGCTTTTAAGCAAGCCAAATCAACTGCTCAAACAAAGAATAAGAAATAATTTCTTAAAGCCAAGGTTCTACTCAGAGATGAAGGGATGATACCATGAACCAATATGCAAGAAATTAACTGATCATCATACTGGTTTATACATATAGAAGCATTATCTGGCAATGCCTCATGCTAGGGTATCGTTTTAGAACTTCAACGAAGATGTGGGCCACCTGGGAAGAATCCAGAAGAACAGCAGAGAGGATGGTCAAAGTTTTCAAAGAACTTGGATATAGATGAAATACTCTGATATGAAAAAAACCTCTTATATGGAAGAAGATAGAATAAACGGTGTTTTTTTAGGCTTCAGAAGGTAAAATAATTATCCAGTGTAGAGTGACAGGAAAACCATCCGTTCTTCAACATGTCGGCAGGACTGGCCTTAAGTTGCTTCAGAGAAAACTGATGATAGGTTAATTCTAAGGTTAGCAAAGTAGTTGAATAAACTGCTCTTGAAATCAAAGACAAATATCTGTATAGCTATAGCTAAGTCCTGCCTAGGTTCAGGGGAAGGAAGGCCTCTTTTACCTCATGGTCATATGAAACAAAAATCAAGAATTACTGGATGGATAGATGATACTGAGAGTTAAAAAGAGGTAATGAGATTTTGAACTAATCCAGAATTTACCTGCATAAATCCTGAAACACTCCCATCATTCATAGCATCCTGGCTGCATAATTTAACATTGTCAATAAAAGAGAAATTAAGCCATGGAAATGTATAAAAGTCTACGGAAATACCAAATAATCTATGTACAAGCTTTAGTTTCGTCTTTATGCTTTGATATTCTATACTCTGTTATTTTATTGAAAAATTACTAAAAATTTCATCCTGTGCGTTTTCATTGATGGACAGTATTAATAACATTACAGCACTTGTAACTGTCTCAGCAAAACACTATAGGTAACACAGAATGAATATGTCTGTATATACATTTGCTATTTTAAAAACAAGTAAAATCCAAACCTACATAATCTGTAGAATCTACCTTTAAGCTAGATTTACTTACATAATCAAAAAGGTATGCATTTAGTGCTCCTGTTCCATCAACCAGTGTAAACTTCATAATAAAAACATACTGGAGCAGCTCAATACCTAAAACTGAAGAAAAAAAAAATTATCTTTTTCTTAGAGTGAATATGCAAGATAAACCATAACAACTCAAGTTGACAACATCCCTCCTTTAATAGCAACTGACTTTGTATACTGTCATTAAAAGTATAAATTGACAGGCTAAAAAAACAGAGGCTCTGAATAGCAAAATATGGTTCGTATTTTGAGAGCACATGGCAGTTTGTCTAGAAACACTTTTATAGATGAGCCTACAAAAATGCAGAAAGGTTTTTAAGTACTTATTCTCATTCTACTAAAAAAAATGCTAATATTTGCTTAGATCTGAGATCCTACTTTGGTAGGACCCTCCTCCTACTGTTCTTTCATCTATGGAAGATTAAAAAGGAGACTTGCTCTTACTTCAGTGATAAGATAGCATTCCATCTGAAAATACGTCTGCTGAGGAAATTTGTTCTCATATGATGTAGTAAAAGCTACCAGGCAAAGTCTTATTCAGAAAAACTTTGCTGGCAGTTCTGAAAATATTGCAGCATAAGTAAATGACTACAGTCATTCTCTCACTGGCAGCAGTAACTGTTATGCTGCAAACATAAAATACTTTAAACATACAAAGTTACTGCGACTTTGCATTAGTCTTTTCTGGGCACATCTGCTTAAACTACTAGCCAGTCATTTTATGTTCAACTGATCTGATATACTTGCAAGTTACTCTTTAGTCTGATGATATGTATGATAAAAGAATAATACACATAAAGCAGTTCAAATGCCAGAAAGCATTTAATGAATATTGTTTTCACTTTGAGAATTAAATGTCAATCACAGGTGCTGTAACACTGTCAGTCATATATTACTTTACATTTATTTAAAAGATTATAACTATGGCAGTTTATTTAAGAGAACCACTATATTGCTCTAATAGTTTTTTCTTTTATAAAGTCTTTACCAAGCTCAGATACTGCTAGATATTCCAACTTAATATGTTAGAACATGAATTGGTAAACATGAAAATATTCTTTTTCCTTTATGTGTCACAAAGTTTTAAGCTCCATTTTACCTCCAGAATTTGAATGTGTTAACTACATGAAGTAACACAAGGAACACAAAAAGTATGAAACACACGTATAAGTTACAGTATAATTCCTTTCATTTGAATATTATTTCTTGCAGACTTTCTGGAATACGCTTAGCATTGATAAGACTTACAGAAGATAAGTCTAACGAGTCACTAAACAAGACTCTCTTCAGTTCAGTTCAGGTCAGAAAAACTGTATCTTCAAAAAGAAAAGCAAGACTAACTTCTAGCAAGAATGTACACAGTCTAAAAATGACATCTGCAACTAAAAATTCATCACATCCCTACTACAATAGGTGTTACTAATGATACCTACGGCAGAAGAAATGTGTTACTAGTGATACCTATGGTAGAAAACACTAATCAACATATAAAATAATTTAATTCATACTCTAATGGTTTTGAAAGTAAGTATGTTGTTTTAACTGGTAAAAGATGAATAAATTTTACAGCTTTATACTCAAGTAAAACCATAAATTACATGCTTTCTGTACAAAACTGCAACCCAGAAACCAAACTATTTCATATAAACACTTCAGAATCAAGGCACAAAAGTATTTTAGGACAATATCACGTCAGCTGACCTTGTGCTATTTCAGTTGGTTCCCATGATGGTCGTTGTTCTGCCGCAATGAAGCTTAGACTCTTCATAGGCTTTGGAGTTGAACACTGCTTGCATCTAGTATTTAAAACAAGATACTGAGACTAACCAAACACTGATATATTTACACCAGAAGCTTTCTGCAACGGTGAAAAAAAACCCAACCATTCTGATTTCCTTAGTCAGTTGGAGTGCAAAAGTATTTCTATTGCTGTTTAAAATAACTTTTTTACCAGATGCACAAGCTTTAGATCACACCAGAACCCTTAATGCTGCTTTTGAATTATCCCTGAAAAGAAATCAATCATGTTGGTCTGGAAAGACTCCCTCAGTGAACAGGAAGGAGGAAAAGTGCACATTAAGGCTGAAAAAGCTGGAGTTGTTCAGCCTGCAGAAGAGAAGGCTCTAGGGAGACCTTATTGCAGCCTTTCAGTATATAAAGGGGGCTTATAAGAAAGATGGAGAGAGACTCTTTACTAAGGCCCATAGTGACAGGACAAGGGGGAACAATTTTAAACGGAAAGAGGGTTGATTTAGATTGTACAGAAGAAGAAATTATTTATGATAAAGACAGTGAGACACTGGAACAGGTTGCCCAGAGAAGTTGTGAATGCTCCATCCCTGGAAGTGTTCAAGATCAGGATGGATGGGGCTTTGAGCAACCTCATCTAGTGGAAGGTGTCCCTGCCCATGGAACAGCGGCTGGACTAGATGATCTTTAAAGGTCCCTTCCAACTCAAACCGTTCTACAATTCTAAGATCACTACATTGCTAAACATATATTCATATGTCACTACTTTGCTGTTTAACAATACAAACATCATCTCACTTTGTAAAAGCAAGAATGAATCTCAACTTGTAGAACATTCTGAATACACAACAGGGTTAGAGGAGAAATTTGGCTTTAACTATGCTGAAAAATATTAACTATGACTTATTAAAACAATTTCTTTTATTACTGGTGTATTTACACCAGTAATTATAAATTTTACATGTGACATAGTAAGAAAATGCTGCAAGAGGATGAAAATACAGCAGAACTGTTTTCAAAATTGTTCTCATTTGCCTCAAGAAATAAAATTATAGAACGTTTTCTTCAAAATAAGCTTCTGTGCTAGTATATTACAGTTAGAACTTAAAAAAGACATTTACTACCTTTCAGAATTACACGCAAAACTTGTCATAAAAATCAATAGCACTAGTTCTGTTCAAGCAACATAAAGCTAAGCTCAATGAATTTACTTTTTTCCTTTAAAAAAAATACATCCAGACTCCAATAAAGTAACTTAGCTGTGAATTCTGGTGTTTGCATGCAAGTGTGTGTGTGTTTATTTTTATATATATATATATGAGAATATAGGGGTATATATTTATGAGCATATGCATGCATATGGACATATAAAAATATTTATACAGGTATTCAAGCTCATTCCTGTAGCAACAACTTTGCTTTTCATTGTACTATACAGAATCTTTTTTAGACTTTGCTAAGTATATGCTACTGCTAAAAAAGCACGCGGAACAAATCTCTGAAATGTCAACATCCTTGCGAGGTTCCTTCCTTCTACCCTATAAACAATCCTGGAATATCTTATAGAGCACTGGCTTTTAAAAGGCAGCCATTTAAACAGAGAATGATGTCTGAAGGTGAGTTGTGAGTAGCTGGGGAAATACATGGATTATGAAAACGCAAGGGGAAACACTTCGTACTGGTGAAGAACCTATCCCTGTAGGAATACTCATATACTGCCTTTATTTAAAAAATCTGTGGCCAGTCATATCTGGAAAGGTCAAAAAAATATATGAGAAAGAGAAATAACTATCTGTTTTCATTTTATCAGGCCCTTATGGGAAACTTTAAGGTTCACGCGAAACATGCAATATTTCTGCACAGAAATTTTTTTTCCTGCCTACAGGACTGAAGTAGTACAACACAGCACTCTGCTTGAACTTATTAGGACTGGTGAGAGGGAGGACTCAATAGCTGGCATGAAGTAGACTGGTATTTCTGAGCTCTGTAACTGTGTGCTGCGGTGCAGTACTGGGAGAACATACTGCTGCTGGCTCTCATTGAGGAGGAACACGGTATTGCATGGCATAGTGCAGATACCAGACCTGGATGTGTGTACCACATTCCACAGCCTTGGAACTGTGGAATTCAGAAAGCCGTTGAAGTTGTGTCTACAGTGAGTGACATCCACAAATAGGTAAGGCACTTTGCAGTGTTGTGAATCTCAATAAACGGCAAACGGTGAGGAAAGGCTGTCCAAAATCCCTTATTCCTTCCAAAACTTAAGCTTTCCCAACACTAAAAATGAGAGAGAGAATGAGGTATGGCTTGAAAGCCTGAAATTATTTTCTGGGTCTCTATTTAAATATTACCTGTGTACAAAAAACACAGAACACAGTTTTAAAGCAACATATGTTTTGACTTGAGTCTAATGAATAAGACCATAAAATGGTATTTTTCTGGCCAAAAAATGGAAGATACAGACTAAAAGAGGAAGATTTAGGCATTTTGCAGTCTAAAGAGACTCGTATATACATTTCCATCTCTGTAGTATACTGCACTACCCATACACTACAGGTAAGACTGAACCTGGGGTGCTGTGTAATGAAAGGCTAAGATTTACAGAGCAAGATATGAGGTAGTAGTATGGCATTTCATCCCTGATCTCAGTACTCCTGATCATGATATGTATGTTGTATCAAAGAATCTTTGGGTAAGTTATCCCTTGAGCACTGTGGTTTGAATTACTGAAGAAAATTCTATCTATCTATTACTGCAACTACCAAAATATCAACAAATACTTTTAACCTACCCATAATATTTTATGTTGCCTTGTAAAAGAAAAGGAGCTGAAAGATCTAATAATTCAAGATCATCTTCTGTGGATCTCACAGGAATAACACATTTAAATCTTTTTGCAAGCTTCCAGACTTCTTTTAGAGTTCCACCTATTAAAAACAGAAAAAACATGTTTTTTTAAACTGTAATCAGGAATACATTGAACAGCTTGCATTTACTGGCTGATCAGATGTTGATTTCTGGACCTTCAATGAAAATTGAGACCCACTATGGAAAACTGAAAAAAATGGTCCATAACCTTCTCACTCTTACTCAACAACAGACTCAATAAGAATCAAAGATAGACATTTATTAGAGCAGATGCCTTAATATCTTCCTTGTAGTTATCACTACAACCATGAAGTCGCGTTCAGTTAGCATCATTTTCATATCATTTCTCCTAGGACTTTACTAGCAATTTTCTTGGGGGTGGGGAGAATAAACTGACCTTTTACAATTGCTCTTTAAGTAACTGTTTTTTCAGCTTTTAAGTGGGAAAAATTTATTAATTTTTAACAAGCAGTTTACGAAGAAGTAGTTATTCAACCATGTCATAATTGACATGAGGTAGGAAATGCAGAACCCCAAACATCATGCTAATTTGAGTGCTACGAAACTGGGACCATGCTAGGAACACAGCAGAGATTTGATATATTACAGTTGGAACTCCGAGATTTCGCAATCCCAGTGACAGGAAAAAGTTCTTTCAAATTTATTATAAATCACAGGATAACCTGCCTTCAGTCTCTGTCGTATGGACTGCAAAACTGATTACAGAATCTTTCTGACGTGGAAAGATTTACAGTGGAAATGGGGTACGTTTATTAATTTAACACACAGAGAACAGTTATTTGGAAATAGTTCAATAAAAATATATAATTTAATAAGCTCATGAAGAGCAATAAGAAAAAGTGAGCAAACTGTTGTAATATAACTACATTCTACAACTGTGTTGTTTACCACTAACTATAACTAAGATGTTTCAAAGACTCTATGAAAAGTAATTATGACAGTGGATTGTAAAACATTTATTACATATATTTGTTACTTGTATTGCAGAGGTAACTAGAGAAGAAAATAAAATCAATAAAATTATACTATTACTGGTGATGAAAAAATGCACAATGACATGAAACTTCCTCAATGAACTTAACTTCTATTAAAAAAAAAAAAAAGAAAATAGAGGCACAGATATTTGAAATAGCTTCCTGAAAGGTTAGAAAACAAAGGTCCTCCAAGTACAGTGACACAGATAAAGCCTCTCCTATACAGTTGAACTCTCATTCAAGGGACTAACATACAAAATTCAGGGTAGTTAGACTGACATTGCTAAAAGGTCTCCGGAATTTCAACTTTGCTGTAATAGGAAGTTACATCGAGCAAATGTATTCTTGCATAAAACATTGAGAATTACCAGGGGTTGACAATGACATGAGTCAGTGATTTCATGTACAAATAGTGAGGATATACAAGGAGTATTAACCTACCTGTTAACCATAACATTTCCCTCTTCAGTTCAACTGATCTGTAGCAACGGTTATGGATTCCCCTAACTCCCTGTGGAGGGTCATGTAAATTTTGTCCATTATCCAACTATTTACTCAATTCCAGCCCAATACATGCCAAACACTCAAAAAGAAGTCCTTGCTTCAGCATAATGATTACAGGGAAGAATACTGTGTTGTAGAAGAGCAAATTGCTTGCATTTAATAAATGAGAAGAATCTAGACGAAGTCTGTCTAATAAATGTCATAATGTATTTGGCCTTTGAGGGTTGTCTGTATCTGGAAAAGTGTTGGGAGGAGAAAAAAAATTTCTAGGGAGACTCCAAAACGTACACCTCCAAAAACTTAAATGTAAAAATTAAAATAGCATGTAGCTTTGGCAAGGTTCATGATCAATATTCTGGGAGAAAAGTCCTAAAACACTGATTATGCCTTTTCCTTATCCTCCAATATGAAGCCATACATCCACATATACACACACTTAGCTGCTGGCACTTCAATATTTGGAAAAGATTTACCAAGTTATATCGTTCAGTTATTGTAGGAAAATAGAGTAGAAATAGATTCTTTTTTCTTTTGTTTTCAACAAAGATAAGGTTATATTAGAAAAAAAAAAAGAATCCAGTTTGGAACATGTCAGAAATAAAAGCAGCTATCAGAACTAGCTGAATACAAAACAAAGCAGAAAACAGAAGGGGTTTTGTCATCGACCCTTACACAAAGGATCACCTGACTTACATTTGCTCATTCACATCACTACTTAAGCACAACTGAAAACTTTGTTTTAAACTTGGAATGACATTATATGCAATTATTTATTACTTTTATTCTATTCAAAACATTCCTTATTAGTATTGGTGCTAAATTGCTCTGTTTAAAGTTGAGCGGCTGTTTTTCTTCCCTCAGGAAATCTGATAAAAAAGAAACAAAACCAAAAAAATCTTCATGCTGTGAGCTCTATTACTCTGAAACAACACTGACATCCAGAGGCTGACAAAGTTAATTGTAAGCGTGTATTATCAGAAGCCTTCCAAAACCCTTCCACATCAAGACTAAAACCAGTTTTTTTTTTCTGGAAGATTCAGCAAGTTTTCAAATCAGAACTGAAAAATCAGTAAGCATACGTAGAAAAAAACACATGTTCAGATGGTAATTTTAGCAGAATCAACAATAAACTTATTGGTATAGCTTTAAAATAGGCAGAAGCACCTTACAAGATCTTCACAGATGACTATTTCCTGTTTGCACAACAGTAACTTAAAGTTTCAGCTGAGTTTTTATTTTCTTTGAAGATGCCTTTATGATCATCACTACTTACAGCAAATACAACTTCAACATATCTTAACTTTGTAGATACTCAGAGTGGACACTGTGCCACAGGAAGCCGTGTATTTGCCATTTACCTTACCTTCTATCATAATCAAAGTATCTTCAGGCTGCTGAAGCATCTCATCATGCTTTACAAAATGGATAGCTATTTTCCTCTGTTTCTGGTCTTGTGTAGTCCACATTACAGAATCATACCAGGACGTATTGTGTAATTCTGGGTTTGGAGCAGTAACGGCAGAGCCTTGTAAAATAAAGTCAAAGTCATCTCCATCTGGAACTTCTCGCCTAAAATCATTTCCAAAATGAGCAAGTAAGTAAGTTCTAACAGCTTCTCCTTTAGCAATCTAGCAACAAAGATGACAGTACTCCAAAAAAGTATTAAAATATAGCAATGAGAGTTAAAGTATATACAGGAAAAACAACTTTGTTGTTATATCAGTTTGAGCATTTAGAGTTGTATAGCAAATTGTGACAAGATAATTTATTTCTATGTTAATAAATATGCTAAGTAAACTAAGCTTACCTAGGAGAAGAGGCAATCTAGTGGCTTCACATACACATACGTAGTAAATCCATGGAAAAACAAATAGATCAGCTTTATGTGATTTCAGCTGGGCCTTAAAAGGGCCACACAACTGCATACCAGTTTGAGAGAGTGAAAAGAGCATATAAACTCATATAATTTCAAGTTTTATGTTCTAGCCTATTTTACTTTGTATATTTTGAGAGGGAAAAAAGGAAAAAAGGGCAGGAGCAGAATAGCTTCACATATGTACTGTAAAGAGAAAATCTGCAACTCTGCACCACACAGTTTTTTTCCCTGTCCTGCTCGAGTGCACCACTCGTGCATTTCCACTTGTTCTCCACAGAGAAGTAACGCAGGCCACTCAAATTTTACCAGTATTACCAATTAAAGGCAAAAAGCCAGTGGTTGGCACACAAATTAAAAATGCATTAGAATGTTTTCTCCTAAGCAAGGAGAAAATCTGCTGGCTTCAGGTGGAATATGAAGTGTGAAAAAAAGGACAATAAAAAAAAAAAAGCAAAAGCTTGGGCTATTTCATAAAGCACTGAAAGAAAGTAGGTGCCAAGCTTCAGAGTGGAGTGAAAGAAAAAATACCATCAACTCTTGCAGATTGTTCTGACGATTTCACTTTCAAACCCAAGAGCAGCTGGTTCCATCAGTGAATAGAACAATTCCTGCCTATGAAACCAAACTTTGATATTCTTCTGCTATGACTTTAGAACTGGCACACAAGAGGTCTTCCTGAACCTGAACTTTCATTTTATGAACACAGTGCTGTCCACATGAACTCTATCCACCTGTGTTCCTGGATTACTATTTCAAATGTAAAAGCAATGGACCTAACAAAACACATCATCTTTCCAGATATACCCATTAAACTCTTCCAGCCTGCCTGTAGATTTCCTGCAGAGGCAGGAATGGAATGAATTGTTTTTGAACTAAGATACTCATGAGGGTTGAAACTTCTGTAATGTGGATACACAAATAAAACTACATTTACGTATATCAATATTTTGCTATTTACAGAGAAGCTTCCAGTTGAAGCAAAAAAAAAAATAAAATACATCTCTCAAAGATTTTATATCCCAAGCATTATATGCATCTTACTGCATACAGCGTTGAGGGATCAAACTTGCACTGAACTTTGTTCAGTCAGGTTTTTCAGCATATGCTAAAACACGGAACAACTTCTGCCACAGCAGAACATGTAGGAGAGAAAGATGCCACTAAATCACGTCTCCGTCCTCGGCCTCTTAACTCAGTGCAGGCTGCAGTACAGCTCCACTATATTTTACAGATTTTTTTTTTTTTTTTCCCACCTGATGCACACAGTTGAGAAAAGAAAAACTAAATGTCTGGGAAAGCACCGCAAGCAGTCCCATCATTGCAGCAGTAGTAGGAAATATGCTAACTAAAGCCTTACAAATCTATCTGGTTAAAAGTCTGCCCTAATTCTGTGGCAAAGAGAAGGCAGCAATATGTGAAACAGGAGGAGACTCAATGAACAGAAATGAAGACATTAACAAATCAAGAATATACAAAAAGCCTACAGTGGAAATGGAAAACTGTGGAATAAGGATAAGGCTCATAAGGAACAAATAAAATTCTATGAATTTTATCTGCTTATTACTACTCAGAGTTGGCAAATACATCAAAGAAGTGACAAAAGTGGCAGATACTTGGTAATAAAGATTATACAATTTATATTGTGAAAAAGATGATGAAGTACTTCCTCTTACATTAGCAACCAAGAGAAGGTTAAACAACCTCTGATAAGGACTAATATTGTTAAAGCTGCAAGCGTGCTACTTCGCATCCAAAAGCTGTAAGAGAAGGATAGTAGGGGCATTTTCTTGTCTGGGTGATGTCTGTATCTAATAAATTTTGATTGTGTAAAAAATTTCAAAAGGCTAGGAGAATGCTTATGTACCACCATTTAAAGAAAGCAATAGTTTACACCAGTAACAATAAAGCTGTTTGCTTGGAACTGCTGCTAGCCTAAGTCAGGCAAAAAACCCAGTGATACAGGATTCAGATGATCATGAATAGCACTGTAATACATGTCACTCAGTAGTTTAATCAAAAATAGGCCATTTCCAACATATTCTCTTTCATTTTTAGATAAACATACACTAGAAATGGCATACAATTATTTGACTATCATTGTATCAAATAATGCTCAAACAGCAGTAAAGGGGAAATAACAGGGATAAAATGGTCAGTGAACTGATTCAGGCCAGAAAAAAGACAAAAAAAACATGGTGAATGCTGTTTCCCTGATATTTTTAAATCCAGAAAAGATGCCTTTTCTGGAAGTTACACTTTAGTCAAAGATATTTTATTCATTCACTTGAAGACTATCATATCTTTTCACATATCCTATTTTAAAACTGCAATACAGAAACAGGTACTAAATACAACTTCGTTATGGGAAAAACCACTCTGCTAAATTTGTAAATAAAGAAAAATTCTTGTTTTGAAAGCAGTCAAAGGATTCTGTAAATGGAACTCATTCGATGATTTAAAATTTTTCTATGTATTAGCAGTGAGTTTAAAATCTTTGCTCAGTGACATATATTTACATTCAGCTCATTTTACACACACAAAAAATGAAAATACACTGAAAATCTAGGCTTCCCAAAACATACAGAACAATTCCTAATTACATTTACTGTGTGAAACACTTACAAAGAGTTGCATTTGGAACAATGAAGTTTAATAGACTGATAGAGCTTCTGGGGTTTATAAGTTCTCAGCTTTGCTCTAATGCGGTACTGTTGAGGAGCCGCGCTCTTCAGAATGGTTTTCAGTTCTGTGTTACTCAAATCCTGATGATCTGTTAATACTGCAAAATAACAACAAACACACACAAAAAAAGCCATGCATAACTATTAAACACCATAATATTTGGAATATGGTAAACATCCATTGCAGGTATGTGTTTTCCCTTAATTCTCAGCTTCTCTTCCCTTCCTAGTTGCAGCCTCATTTTTATCAATACAACATGTTACTACAGTCTTTAAAGATAAATCACAATAGGTTGTGGGAGCATGGTGTACTTCAGGGTACAAAAATTAAACATGTAGGAAAAAATAAATGAAAGTAGAATACATAAATGCGCTCTATTCCTTTAAAAAAGGAATAAAACCAATGTAACATTCATAAACTTATACCCTTAGACTAGCTCTTTCTACAATAAGTAGAAGACATTATATCATCCTTTGAGCTGATATCTCAAAAATATCTTTGTTCTTTATTAAAAATAAAATTCACCTTGAGGTCAAAATATTTCCTACCTGTAACAGATAACTGCTGACATCTCTGTAAGTGTGATTCAAGATCTAAAAATCAAGAAGAATTTCCTAATTATTTTCCTTCCTTCTCTTTACCATATGGATACACAAAACCAGACAGGCAGACAGATACACACACAAAACCAAAAGCTGAACAAAGGAAAATGAAAATCTTAATATCTGAAAACAACATAGTAAAAGGAAAAAGAAAAGTAAGTAGGAGACAAACATGGGATCCCAAGAGTTAATATATTTGAGGAGAAATTAGTGTATACATTAAATAGCAACGCTCATCAAAATGAATGCTTTTCAAATGTATGCTGTATTCATCCCCCTGTAATCTTTCTGGACAAGAGCGTAAATACATTGTTCTAAAACCAGTATGGACTGACTGACCCATCGTCTGAACAACCTCTACTACACATACACAGTGCAGCAGATATGTGCAAAATTCTTTCTAAATTTGCAGTATTATGGTCTAGATATGAAGCATTTATTTATTCTTGAATTTTGCATCCTTTTAGAAATATTCTGTTACAGTATTTAATAATGGCTAAGTTAATATGAGATTTTAAAAGCTAGAAGCAAAGATGCAGAGATGCAGACTATGTCCAACAAGTTTTAGAGTTTAATTCACTTTCAGTTATTCTTATTGCGGGCTAAAATTACCATTCAAAGAATAATATGGGATCTGTAGAAGCGTCTATAAGAAACTACTTTTCCATGGCGCTGCACCTTGCAGCTCTGCCACTGACACAACTTTCCATCCAACAGCTTCAAATGGGCTCCTCAGCAAGCAGCTGTTTTCAGTGCCTGTCTCTGAGGAATCGCCCTTCAGACAGAGGGAGTTACATCACTCCACTTTATGATCTAATATAGCATGATTAAGAACACCATCTGTGTTTAATAATTTATTCACTACCTCCTATGAAAGTATTTTTCCATGTATATCAAAGGCTTCTCTACGAGACATAAAGACAGAGTAAAGTCAATTTTCAGTATAATCCAAAAGAATTCTCAAAGGCTTTGTATGTAAAAGTAACATTATACACTTAGAGAAGCAGTAACTGTGACCTTATCTGGACCATATACACATCAGAAGAAAGAGCAAATCAGCCTTCAATTGCTCTTACCTGCAACATTGTTAAAAGTGACATCTAATTCCTGTGAAGACGTGCTTCCCATATTCTGACTCTCTGCCAGGTCCACAGATTCTAAGAATCTAAAAATAAATGACTAAATATTTTATAACCTAGAGAAGTCTTTCATATATATACACATACGCACACATACATATGGGACTATACATACACTTATATGAAACCTACTATTTATCAATATACAGGTATAACATTCAGAAATAAATTTTCCAGCAGAGACATAAATTAACTCAACTGACTCAGAAGTTGCAGGAGTGTATATTAATGATGCAGATGAGAAACTCCTCTCCAAATCACTTCTGGAACTTTAAACAAAATATAGTGTCAAAAGAAATCCATACTACTGGAAATGGAATTCCTGATAAAGGAATGCGGACTTTGGTTACTTAGCCTTTCCTAAGGGAAAAAAAGAGAGTTTATAACCTTTGGAGGAAGGGCCAGGCAACTTAAAAGCACTATAAAGATGCAATGAGGTTATGCAGGGAGAAAATTAGAAGGGTCAAAGCCCAACTAGAACTTAATCTGGCCACTGCAGTAAAAGAAAATAAAAAAACCTTTCTATAAATACATTAACAACAAAAGCAGGGTTAAGGGCAATCTCCATCCTTTATTGGATGTGGGGGGAAACATAATGACAAAGGGTGAAGAAAAGGCTGAGGTTCTTTATGCCTTCTTTGCCTCAGTCTTTAATAGCAAGACCAGCTGTTCTCTGGGAACCCAGTCCCCTGAGCTGGAAGACAGAGACAGGGAGCAGAACGAAGCCCTCATAATCCAAGGGGAGATGGTTAGCGACCTGCTACACCACTTAGACACACACAAGACTATGGGAGCAGATAGGATCCACCCAAGCTGGCAGAAGCGCTCACCAAGCCACTTTCTATCATTTATCAGCAGTCCTGGCTAACTGGGGAGGTCGCAGTTGACTGGAGGTTAGCAAATGTGACATCCATCTACAAGGAGGGCTGGAAGGAGGATCTGGGGAACTACAGGGCTGTCAGTCTGACCTTATTGCCAGGGAAGTTATGGAGCATATCGAGTACCATCACACAGCACGTAGAGGACAACCAGGCGATCGGGCCCAGTCAGCATGGGTTTATGAAAGGCAGCTCCTGCTTGACTAACCTGATCTCCTCCTTTGACAAGGTGACCCCCTTAGTGGATGAGGGAAAGGCTATGGATGTTCTTTACCTAGACTTCAGTAAAGCCTTTGACACTGTTTCCCACAGCATTCTCCTGGAGAAACTGGTTGCTCATGGCTTGGACAGAGGGATCTGGAGAGGCTGTATCAATGGGTCAAGGCCAATTGTATGAGATTCAACAAGGCGAAGTGCCGGGTCCTGCACTTGGGTCACAATAACCTCAAGCAACACCACAGGCTTGGGGAAGAGCAGCTGGGAAGCTGCCTGGCGCAAAAAGGGCCTGGGGGTGTTGGTCAGCAGTATGAGCTGGCAGTGTGCCCAGGTGACCGAGAAGGCCAATAACATCCTGGCTTGTATCAGAAACAGTGCGGCCAGCAGGACTAGGGAAGTGATCGGCGCTGGTGAGGCTGCACTTCGAATGCTGTGTTCAGTTTTGGGCCCCTCACTGCAAGAAAGACATTGAGGTGCTGGAGCATGTCCAAAGAAGAGCAATGAAGCTGGTGAAGGGTGTAGAGAACAAGTCTTATGAGGAGCAGCTGAGGAAACTGGGGTTGTTTAACCAAGAAAAAAGGAGGCTGAGGGGAGACCTTATTGCTCTCTACAACTGAAGGGAGGTTGTAGCAAGGTGGGTGTCAGTCTCTTCTCCCAAGTAACAACCGGTAAGATAAGAGGAAATGATCTCAAGTTGCATCAGGAGAGGTTCAGATTGGATATTAGGAAAAATTTCTTCACCAAAAGGGTTGTCAAGTATTGGAACAGGCTGCTCACAGAAGCAGTGAAGTCATCATCCCTGGAGCTATTTAAATGACGTGTGGATGTGGCACTTAGAGACACGGTTTATTGGTAGGCTTAGTAGTGTTTGGTTAATGTTTGGACTTGATGATCTTAAAGGTCCTTTCCAACCTAAACTGTTCTATGATTCCTAACATATATAACACAGTTCAGTAAAGCATTTCTATTATATGCTTTATTTTGAGTATCTTTAAGTCTCACCATTTCCAAGTAACACGTATACACATGGTTAAAATGTGCTCAATTTATTTGCTTAACCATAGCTTTTATCATTAAAAGATTATATGCCGCTATAAAACAGAATAAGTATGTTAATGTGGCCAGACCTTATTATTATGGCACTATAAAATAGAAGTCTTAATCACTACTGTATTTTAAATTTGAAAAAAATTAGCCTTTATTTACCTTTCTCCCCAAATACTTACTCTTCATCTTAGTGGTGCTAAAGACATACTCTGTTCCAGAGTTTCTGGTTCTTACATACGCCTACAATTCTAAACTGTACAGTTGTTAAATTAGCCCAGAGTTTTCCAGAAGCTTCTAGAAAAAACCCTACATATAGAACTTACGCTTTTAGTTCCTTAACATCTGGGTTACTTTCTGGTATGACTCCTATTCCTCGACCGTAACAGGTGCCACCATGAAGATGAAATTCTATGTGTGAGACATCTTCGTTGTCCGCACTTGCTTGTTTCGTATGAACACTGTAAATTCTCAGAAAACTTCCAATCTTAAATAAAAAAACATAAATAAATTTGATAAAGTCAGCTATTTTCTTGGAAAATTCTAGGCCTCATAAAGCTTCTTCCCTGTTTTCACCGAATCACAGAACAGCTTAAGTTGTCAGGGACCTCTGGAGATTGCCTCGTGCCCAAAGCAGAGTCAACTAGAGCAGGTTTCTTAGGTCTGTCTCCAGCTGAGTTTCGAGTATTTTCAAAGATGGAGACTCCAAAATCTCTCTGCATGACTTGTTTGGTTGTTTTTTCCAGACAACTTTACTGGCAGCAAAGGCTGATTCAGAACCAGCGTAAGCCTTCTTACTAAATCTCATTCTCAAGCAGACTTCAGAAGACAGATCAAACAAGCCAATATATTCCTTTCCTGAGGGCACAATTTGTCTTCTATATTCACAACACAGCCCTCCAGAGACCGACGTGCTGGGATTTGTCCATGTATGATAGCACTCAGCAATTGACCTCATGTCATCATCATGCATGGCATATTATCTGCTTATGTACACATGCGAACACATCTGCTTACGCAGATTTCCTTATCATATCTTACTCTAAACATTACAGATAACATTTTTTCGGCACCAGGACAAAAGGCAACACCTGTTAGAAATCTAAAGATTTTGGCACTGTTCCTAATGCTGTTAGATCTTCTCCTCAGGTACATGGAGAATACGCTTTTTGTTTTGCTTAACATTATTTTTTTGTTCTCTGAAACAGTTTTGTCAAGTTACACAAATGGATTTAGGCTAATTTATGCAAGTACCTATTAAGAAAGAATTTAAGGAGTGCTGAACGTCGAACATCTCTCTGTAACTTTGCTTTTATTTCAAAATACCACTCCTCAAAAAAACCACAAACCAAAACCAAGGTTCTAAAGGCAGATAATCTGGAGACTTAATTATATAGATAATTTGCCTTTGATGTGTTTTAAATTGAATCAAATTAACTAGCACCCAAATATTTTATTTGAAGTATAACCTAAGATCCAGCTGATAGCTGGCACTAACCTGGATTTATATTCACTCTAAGTATCGTTTAAATAGCCCTATATAAATGATAAATTATTTTACATTGACTTCAATTAACATTAATATTACAACAGTCAGTCTGCTAAGTCTTATTTCAGCTTCAGCTCCTGCTTCAACCAGTAAAAACCTAAAAAGTATTCCTATCAGACTGCACTGACCAGGTCTTAGTACGACACTTATGAATGTATGTATACATGCATACAAGCAGACATAGCAGCATCTTGATTCTGGAATTCTCCTCTGTTATCAAGGAACAGACTATGACTATATAATGCTGGTATCAAACTGCTCTTTTAAACAATAATCATGAAAAAGGCAGCATATTTTCAAATTCAGGTACCAAGGACATAAAAAGTGCACTTCAGCCTGCACCTATTTTGCTTCTGGCATGGAGCTCTTATCTGAGTTTTAATTTATCTGCAAAATTAGGGGATTGCCCATTTTGTTCAATAAAAGCATATCAACAGGACAGCTTGTGCATTTGAAGTGGCTTATCTAGAGCCTTTTTTTGTTTTCTTCCCAGATGTTAAATTTCACTTAATTATGTTGAATATCCAAAAATACAAGGGATAGTCATATCATAAAACTAATCTAATGATTATGAAATGCTTTTGGAGAAAGTTTTTTTTAAAAAAAGTTCTTAGCTAAGTTCTGCTTATCAAATAACCTTATGTCAATATAACAGTGTCATACTATTTTTTTTTTAAGAGTACTTTGTACATAAGCAGGAGAAAGTAAACTAACTGAAGAATTTTTTTCTTTCAAAAACAATGTATGAAAAAAACCTAAGTATCTACTACATGTACAAACATAAAACATTAGACATGAGAGAGGAGAGTCCAGAAACCAAGAATACAAAATAGTGGTTTTGCTTTCTAAACTTGTGAGCAGGAATTCATGCAAAAGTCAACTGAATTACATGTTTTAGTGGAACACTCAACTTCCCAAAATTTATTATCACTATAAAAATATATCTTCCTACACATGCATTTCATTAGATCCTTTTTCTGAAAATGTTATTATTTTATATATTTTAATATCACTTAGAAGTATACTAAAGAAGTGCATTATAATCAGAATTGCCAAATACTGAAGAAATCTGGAAGGTTACGAATGACAACCAAGACCACCAGCTCTGATTGTGCCAGACGGAGTGCAACTTCCGTGAATTCCTTCGGGAGGCAGCATTGCCCACTGTTAACAGCGGCGAGCGAGGTGGGAGTCACAGCTAAAAATGTTACTGTATTTCTGTTGTTTACAGAACTCCTGCAGACCGAGCACATTTTATACGCTTGACTGAGAATAAATTATAATCTACATTAAAGTAAACACCATGATTTACAGCGGCGTCACTAAAATCTAGTGCAAAATCAGGTCCTTAATAAACAGGAGCTCTGTTTATTAAACTATCTACTTCATTTACATCAAGTTCATTTAATATGAAATTAAAGCAATAAGAACACATTTCTTGCAGTAATATAAAATATACCCTATTTGCAGTCTAATTCAAATATGACTATTTTAAAAATACAAATTAAGGCTAAAAAGAATTAAAATGAAAAAGTCACATATGCAGTTCCTTGTAACTCGCCAACTAAACCAACTTTTTAGTGTAGTAAATTCTTGTAATTATTTCAAAACACACAGGGTTGTGTTCACCTTTAAAACACTGATGAATTGAGAATGGTCATTTATCATAGCAATTAAATGCTCATGTCTGGCCAGAAAGACACTCATGACAAGAGGCTGTCTTTATCTACAGGAATCACTTAACAAAATAAACTGTACTAATTTTTATGCCCATTTTATGGCTGATGATGTTCACTGAGATTTCTTTGTCATCATTTTATCATATCAAAAGTCTAATTTTACTAAGTAAATTGTGCACAACCATTTGTGCAAATGAGAGGATGCATATACACAGCATTTGGGTGTGGTCCTTCACAATAAAAAAATACTAACTTAAATATATTAAAGGGTTTGGAGGACATGGGAGTGGGATGGGAGTTGTTGTGGTTTGGGTTTTTTTTTTTCCCCCTTTTAATGAGAACAAAGACAGAAGTGGGGAAAATACCACTGACAGGTCAAAGGAATGCTACCCGGGCCTGAAAAATACGAAGGTAGATATTACAGCCATGCAATTCATGTAAGTTCCAGGTTGGAAATGTGACTCAGACACTAGAAAAGCAAGCAGGACTTCTTATTTCAAACTACTAGCAAAAAAGACGTAACACTCTATACAGCGGGAGGAACAGCTGAAAATACTCAAACTCTACATCTGAAGATACAAAACATGAAGCAAATACTGTAAAAATATGTACTAAGACTTTCATGCATGCTCAACGTTAACTGTTTTAATTGTACTATCCTGAAAACACATGGCAACACAAAATTGATGGCATCAAGCCGTAAGAGGAATGCACAGTACGACATATTTAATGAATGACAGCACATAAGGAAATCTCCCCTACCATGCACTGACTGAAAGCCTCATGCACCCCAGGTAGCCAGAGGAAGAGGGAAATTAGGGAAAAAGCAGTCAACATCATTGTCTTGGCTTAGTTGTAGCTCTTGCTTGTGTCTTTATGCCCCAGGAAATAATCTACTTCATAGATGAGATTTCTGAAAATTCTGTTTGTGTTCTGCTAAGGCAGCAAATGCTGAAAAGCCATAATCCTATCCAGCAGGAAAGGGAGGCCAATAAATACAGGGGACAAAAAGTCTACTTACAATATTAACTGTAGCACACCTTCAATATTACTAAAGTTCTCTCCATTGAAAATTAAAAATATTATTTGACTGTCTTGGAAAGAGGGATAAAATGCTCCTATCATCAGTGTTCTCTAGACAGACAATCCAAACAAGGAGCTTTTAACAAACTCTTGCAGGAATATCCCCGACACCGCGCTCCAGGATTTGCTAAAAATTCACTGTAATACATCACACACTTTCTCTAGACTATAGTGCTTACTCAAAGCTTCCTTGTCTGAATATGTGCCTACAGATACAATTTTAAAATAAGAACAAATATTTTTTTCTCTCTCCCATCTGCCCTTCTTGGTATCAAGGCTGCATAAAACAGATTGTTCCCACATAATACATCATTTCAGAGCTGCGACTATCATTGCAAATGGTACACGACAACATGAGAGAGCGTACCCTAACAATTCCATAACAATTTACATTAAAAAATGCAATTCCAAGCTACCATCAAATGCAGATGAGATAGCTGAAAAATAGTGCACTTTTATTGTTTCTGAAACCATAAACTGGAAAAACATCTAATAATTCAGCTTCTGTCCACACTGTTCTCGTGTTCACACTCGGGACAGTACACATGCATACACTAAACACTCTCCAGTTTTATACTTCTACATAAATGATTTTTTAAAAAAAAATTTGTATAACAAGACCCTGAACTAAATAAAATATTATATAGATTAATATAGAGTATTACAATTATAGTTTTTTATTATATGACATGATTTCCACTAGTATTTAAAAACAAACCTTTTAATAAATCTTCCTTCTTAGTAAGAGTCCCCCAAAATTTTATTATCTTTAGATTATTCTGTGAAATAAAATTAATTGCTCAATAAATATTCCTGAAGTTCAACTGTTAGCATATCAGCACTTTTTCTTCAATAACTCCACTAGGACAATTCACCAAAAAACGGTGTTCAAAAATGATCTGACTCAAAACTTCTGCAGCTTGCCTGAGTGAAACTACTGCAACTTTGGACATAGCTAGAAGGAGAAAAACAGCCCGTGTTGCTCAGTAGGTTAAACCAGGTTTCTTAACAGCTTCCTTTGACATTAGAGCTTCTGCTACACAGTGCAGTATCCAGCAAAGTCACAAATGCTTTAGAGATAAGACAGAAAGGGCTTAAAAGAAGGAAAAAACCTGAGAGCACTGATGAAGACATCCCACATATTCAATAGGAATGCCTGAATATAAATGGGAGAGAGTAATAAAGGGAGTATCATCAGCTATTCAAGAAAATATGTTTTATTGCTTCACTGGAATATCAGCAGTTATTTATATCAATAGATTACACCAGTTAGCAAGAGAAAAATTCTGGAAGAGAACCTGCAAGTAATGAAATATTTCTGTAAGTTTTGCTACGAATTATTGCACAAAGGCAAGTTATTTTGCTATCTGTCATTTACTTACGAACGGGCATTAACATACCAAATTGATGTCATGTCTGCTGATAGCCCCAGGCTAACAAATGGCTATCACTTATCTTTATTTTCTTAAAAATGATGCTTGAGAAAAGAGGGCAAGACATAAAATGAAAGATGCATTCTTTGCTACTTTACCATATTCAGAAGCAAGATGGCAGTATTGGTGAAGATCAAATGTTTAATTATGTTGTTGCTTTCTCCATCTAAGCATAATCAACATTACTGACCCACTAAATGAAGACTACACTGCAAATTGCAGAAGTTTACAGAACAGAAAATCTTTTATTGACTTTAGAATTGACTTTGTAGCCTTTAATGGGATTACAAGTTTGACCCCACTTTATATCATTTAAAAAATAACTCTAAAGCATAGAATATATTTTCTGAGTGCATTATTTTCTTAGGATTACAAATGATATTACACTGTCTGGAAAGAACTGCTTAATCGGAAGAATTTTTTTCATGGCAATTTTAGGGTAATGAGACTGTTTTACACATGTTGAAGGAGTTTTTGCATTCAAATAAAAGGTGTAGGAAATACAGTGAAAGATAAACACTTGAAACTAATGAACAGCAGAACTGAACTGATACATTCTCTGAAGTGAGTTCTGAGGAGAACACAGGCCACAAAATGACAGTTACAAATACCAAACTGTGCATTACCTTAAGTGATTTTGCCAGCTGTACATGGTTATCGTAGACTAGAATGTCCACTGTCAGATTTCGCAGCTGATGAAGAAGAACTTTGTCTCCTTCCAGGTCTCTTGCTTCCACAGGCACCTTCCATGTTGGGTAGGGACATTTTGTGCCATCCCATACCTGCAATCATAGAATCACAGAATATCTTAAGTTTAAAGGGATTCATAAGGATCATGGATTCCAACTCCCTGCTCCTCGCAGGACTACCTAAAACTAAACCATATGATTAAGAGCATCATCCAGACGCTCCTTGAACTCTGACAGGCTTGGTGCCATGGCCACGTCCCTGGGGAGTCTGTTTCAGTGACCAACCACACTCCCAGTGCAGAACCTTTTCCTAATGTCCAATCTGAACTTCCCCTGATGCAGCATCATTCCATTTTCTCCTGCCCTATTGTAGTCACCAGAGAGAGGAGATCAGCACGCAATGCAAATGAACTATTTCAATATGCTTAGAATACTTTAGATCGAGATTTTAAATAACTTATTTTTTTCACAAATTTGTTGTTTGATTAAAAATTGATAACAATAAGAAATCTTAACTGGTGTCTCAGTCTTGAAGTCCTTAAATTACTCAAATTAGATTTTATGAGATTTTCTTTTTTTTGTTATTAGTATTCCTTACAGAGCATAAAATAACCTCTATAGAGAATATGATCAAGTGTTAAGACCTGGCATTTGTTAATATTAAAAAATAAATAAATAAAAATTAGTGCTAGCAAAACTTCAACTATTATAATTCATCACATGAAGAACTGTCTATATCTAATATTTTGATCCTGCTATAGGTTTTTTTAACCACTCCAGTTACAGTATGTGAAGACTGAGTACACGGCATATACTCCCTTAATTACTGATGATCTCCTACATCAGTATACACTGCTAGTTATGCAGAATGTATTAGAAAAACATCAGTATTTAATATATACTTAATAATGAGGATTCTAAAAACTGTTTGCCTAAAGCTAAATTCTTGATAGGCCTAAGTCAAATTTATTGAGAAAAAGTCCATTCAGAGGGACTTCAGAGGTGAGCCCACGTGAAACTCAAGTTCAGCAAGACCAAGTGCAAGGTCCTTTATGTGGGTCGGGGCAATCCCAAGCACAAATACAGGCTGGGCAGAAAATGGATTGAGAGCAGCCCTGAGGAAAAGGACTTGGGAGTGCTGGTGGATGAGAAGCTCAACATGAGCAGGCAATGTGCACTGGCAGCCAACTGTATCCTTGGCTGCATCAAAAGAAGTGTGGTCAGCAGGTCCAGGGAGGTGATTCTGCCCCTCTACTCTGCTCTCGTGAGACCCCACCTGGAATACTGCGTTCAGCTCTGGAGTCCCCAACACAAGAAGGACATGAAGCTGCTGGAGCGAGTCCAGAGGAGGGCCATGAAGATGATCAGAGGGCTGGAGCACCTCTCCTATGAAGATAGGCTGAGAGAGTTGGCATTGTTCAGCCTGGAGAAGGGAAGGCTCTAGGGAGATCTTATTGCTGCCTTTCAATATATGAAGGGGGCTTATAAGAAAGACGGAGAGAGATTTTTTACCAAGGTCCGCAGTGACAGGATAAAGGGCAATGGTTTTAAAATGAAAGAGGGTTGATTTAGATCATACAGAGGAAGAAATTCTTTACGATGAGGATGGTGAGGCACTGGGACAGGTTGCCCAGAGAAGCTGTGGATGCTTTATCACTGGAAGTGTTCAAAACCAGGTTGGATGAGTCTTTGAGCAACTTGATCTAGTGGAAGGTGTCTCTGCCCATAGCATGGGGGATTGGAACGAGATCTTTAAGGTCCCTTCCAACCCAAACCATTCTATGATCTATGAAGTAAGACTATCAACAGACTTAAGCACTTTGGAACAAAAATCTTACTCCTTAAATAAAACATTAAAATTTCAGTGATAGCTGCTTACAATATATTCTGTAAACTATGGTTTCCTGAGTTTCTGAAATTACTCTCTCCTCAAAGACAACAGAAATAATGGTCTGAAATACTGGCATAGAAAAAGAAAAATCTAGAGGCGTTCAACAGAAGCCAATTTTCAGGCAGTCAGTGATACTAAGGCATGTTGTCCCATGACTTAGGCACTGCAGAGGAGGATAAAAAACACACACCAAAGCTTATCTTTTAAAGGGTTTCTACTGCTTATGCTTAACTGCTATGGATCAAAGAACCCACAGGAAAAGATCTAAGAATCAGCAAAGCCATGTGTAAATACACTGAGAACAACTCCTAGTTGAAATACTCATCCCAAATAAAGAGATAAAAGGGAAATCCATTCACAGTGAGAATGACCCATAACATCAAATTAATGTTCCCAAATAAGGGTGTATTCTGAAGGACCCAGATAATGAGGTGGTAGATGCTGCCACAGAACAACAAAAAAAGCCTATTACCGTCTGATCCTGTACCATGAAATACTTAAAACCACCTCTGAAAAGAGATAGCCCATTGCTTGAATTATCAAACCCTTTCCAGAACTGAGCTTGAGAAACACAGATTTAGTACATATATATCATGAATTTAGTCACTTTGACAAAATAAAGAACCGCAAGTTTGTCAAGTTTACCATTACTTTTCAACTGGCTTTACTTGAGACACTTTGGTAGTTCTACACTTAAATGGATCTGACAAATGGACTGAAATAACCTGAATGTCCTCTGTCAGATACGAGGATGACTACTTAGCTTTAAAATGTCCTTCACCAGGGTAACTAATGGGGCTAGCATCAGGGCACCTTTTGGAGGAATTTGTAAGCCAGTAAACTTTCCTTACAAGAAAAAAAAAATACTTAGAAAAGCAGCTGGTTTTGTTTCCTACTTGCACAAATATGAAAACAGATCAAGCTCTCTTACCTCAGGAGCTTGCCAGCTTCACTTCACTAAAATTATGGATAAAAACACAGAAGTCTTGGTTTCAAAAATCAACACTGGTCTAAAAATCAACACTGATTAAATTAATTCTGGGTAAGAAACAGTAAATGGTTCCATTACTAGTCATGAACAGACTGGAATTAAGGAATAGTTAGTGAGAACCTTTGATCACCATGGTTAGCAAAACACTGAAATGGGAGAGACACAATAACACATGTTTCTCTCTTCAGCCAAGTATGCTCATTGTATGACGTAGCTTAATGTAGACAATTTAACTGACAGACAAAAGGAAAGAAGAGAATAATAGTAAAACTGTTACAAAATGCATAAATCACAGAATAATTTCTAGTGTAAGCTTTTCCGTCTACGTAAGTTTGAATAATAAAATTCTTAGAAAAAGGTAAGCACTAACAAATTAGCAACACTGTCTTTGTGCCATGTCAGCCTCAGGTGCTGTGCATGTCCCCATTAATTTATGAAGCGTAATAATAAGTTATGCGATGGGTGATGCACAAAATCACTGTAATTCAGTTTAGTTGTGTTTGAAGCAATCCCCACTAGTTATATGAGCTCACTTAAAATAATAATTATATTTTACAGTATAATCAACCGTTAATATAACTGATAAATTTATCATGTAATTCCAAGTGTAAATAATTATTATAAAACATATAATCAAAATAATATAATAATATTTAATGATCACTCCATTTGAGCTGGTATTAAATTTTGGCGTTTTTTTGTTTGCTTATTGAATCAACAAAATAATCAGAGATCTGTCTACAGATCAATTTTTAAATTCTAAAATTCTTTTTGAAGAATTTAAATCAATTTTTAAATTCTAAATCCTTTTTAAAGTCTACAATTTTTAAAAGAGGTTTCTCTTCTGTTAAGACCAACATTTATTATAAGAAAGGGATTTTGCCCTGCTTGAAAAATCGGAGAAATTTAGCAACAGCATACCAATGTTAATCTACCATTTTTAAGCTTATCTGATGTATTTTAATACGGATTTAAATATTTAATATTTTATACTACTAAAAAAAATAAATATACTGTCCAAGGAGTCACATATCAGAAAAACTGATCTACGGTTACTTGACTTCAAACTTTTACCTTCCCAAGTTCATCCTAAGTTTTCCCCAACTCATTATCTTTACTATACAAAACTGACAAAATCTACTTCAGATCTTACAACACAGAAAAGAGAGTAAAGAAGTATCAATAATTTGATAAAGGACTTGTCTCTGTCCTTGCAAAGGAACCTTCAATGCTGAATATATACTTACTAATGAACAACTTCATTACAGTCCACAAAGTTCTGAAATTTTACTGGGTATCATTTGATATCTATTTCATAGAATCATAGAATTGTCTGGTTGGAAGAGACCTTCGAGATCATCGAGTCCAACCATTCACCCTGCACTGTCAGGGTCCCTAAACCATGTTGCTCAACACCAAATCCACACGGTTTTTAAACACCTCCAGCAATGAGGACTCCACCACCTCCCTGGGAAGCCTGTTCCAATACTTCACAACCCTCTCCTGATATCTAACCTAAATTGCCCCTGGCGTAACTTGAGGCCATTCCCTCTCGTCCTGTCATTCATAACGTGGGAGAAGAGACCGACCCCCATCTCCCTACAAATTCCTTTCAGGTAATTGTAGAGAGCGATAAGGTCCCCCCTCAGCCTTCTCTTCTCCAGACTAAACAGTCCCAGCTCCCTCAGCCCCTCCTCATAGGACAAGTTCTCTAAACCCTTCACTAGTTTCGTTGCTCTACGAACAACAGGATTTCATAAGGGATAATTAAATGGAACAGCTGCAAAGCATATTACAGGCTGACACTTAAGGTTTGTTTCTGTATAGCACATGCGTTGCTCTGCACGAGAAAAATTTTCGCGGCTTTAAAGAAGGGATAATGCAGTGTCCTGTTTCTAAAAGTGTTGTAACAATACAGCTTAATACAGTAGAACCAATGAAAAATTTTATGAAGTCATAAAATGGAAAATAACTGACTCTTCATCACTCAGATTTTAACTATCAACTTATAAAAGAAAGAGAAAGAAATACAGAGTAGTTTCAGAATAACACCAGACTGATATATTTGGAGTGAAAACGTGGAAAATTATGCACACCATTTATTTAGCTGATGTTAGGGAATACCCTTGGAAAGTACTCTCCTGTTGTGCGGCACTTGGCATTTTGTACTTTCAGTACAAAAATCAGTGAGCACATTATACATAAGCAAAGTGCTTATGTATAATTAAAAGAAGCTACCCAAAATCCATCAAGATAAATAACATAATCCATTCATTCTTTTTCTAGATAATGCTAATTACTGCAGCAATCATATCCAGCAGATATAGAAAAATGAGAAATAATTGTTGCTAACTAAAAACAAAGGTTAAAATGTAAAACTGACAGTATTTTTAAACTTTAAGAAATATTGCAATATGTATCTACAAACATTTGTGAAATGATGATCCATACCAGTGTCATCTTACAAAACTTCTCTAAACAAATAAATCAGATAAACAACTTTAGAGAGAATTGGGATTTGTTTTGTTTTCATAGAAATAAAATGGTCAAGAACATAAATTTATTTAATCTCAAATATATATCTACTTAACATTTAAATCAATGACTATGTCTGTTTTATCTGAATCTCAATGTTTTAACAAAAAAATCTAACAAATTTAAAAAAATACCTGCCTTTAGGAGAAAAGAAGATCCATCCACTTTTGCTTTTCCTACCAGCTGGCAAGTGAGATCAAAGAACAGCATTGGCTGAACACCAGACAATTTTGCTGCTGGTCCAGAAATGGAAAGATTACTGGCTGCCCAAACACGTAATTCTTCTATTGTTTTCAGTTCTTCATCCATGAAAGTGTACACTTTGCTAGAGGTTCGAGGAACTACTGGTGCTCCTACAGTTCCATCAAATGTCAAGGATGCAAATCCCACACTGTTAATTCCCTGCATCTGTCCATTGTATTCCCTGATCTGTAACAAAATATGAGGAAAAAAATAAACAGTTGCACTGCATTGAAATATACATACGTTTGTGTTTTATCATGTGCATGAAGAACGGACCACTGATAATTTTTGTTCCTGGTACTATTAGGAGAACAGAGTCAAAATAAAACAAAAAAAAGAAAATTAACCTTAACAAGAAAAAGTGAATAAGCAGAAAACACAATCTAAGACAAAAAATTTTTTAAAGCAGCAGACTAATACCTTCCTGTAAATATACAGCATCACTGCAGAGTATTTTATTCACAAATCTCAAAAAGTTTGTGTGGGGAACTCATCAGGATTACTTTTACAGATGGGGAAACTGAGGTATGAAAGAAATTAATTTTTAGGGGTCACACAGCAGTAACGGCAGATTAAAGTTGTTACGGATTCCTGTTTCCCGCCTCTCATAATAGCCCCATTTCCTGATATTATGGAACTGAAAAATAAAATATCAGTTCTAGGAGCTATTTTTTTCTATAAAGCAAACAGTGACCAGCTTTCATTCCTTGAATTACAAATACAGCTTTCATAATTACTCTTATGTCTACTGACCTGTATGTGGCAGGTCCCCTGCATCCTGCTGATTTAGCTATGTATCTGCTACCACATAAAACTCTGTTCAAAGTCTGAAGCATTCCTTCAAGGATCTAGTCTAGTCTTACTGTCCCCTGTACTTTATATATGTATCAAAGCACTGCATGACTCACTATCCAGAAATCTCAAACCAGCTGCTTTGATCCATCCATTTTTAATTAAAATTTGCTTACCAAAAAAAGCAACAAGACTTCCAAATATAGCACTTGTGACACAATCTAGTTTAGGATTCCCAGAACTCACTATTAAAATGGTTGAAAATCCTACTGATTCAAAAGTGCCAAATCTGAAAGATGTGACATAAGCTCTCAACAGTAACCTTTTTTATTAAAACATGGCCAACGATTTAGGCTTGTATTTTATAAACACACTGAAATTTAAAAAACACACAAATCAAGTATTCCTTGGAAATTCATAAACAAAGCAGTTTAATCTTAGTGACAGGAACTCCTTTAACCCCTGCTATTTTGACATAATGCATAAATGCATTAAGGATCATCTCTAGGACAAACTTTCATCCACTTAGCTTTTCTCCAGACCTGACCAATGGAGGACATCAATCCATGATGTCATTTTTCTTCGTTGTAACACTGAAAAGCTTTAGTTTTTTAACCTTCAGGTTTCAATATTGAAAATACAAGAAAAGACAATGCACAAATCAGGAAAACAGACAGTTTCATAAAGAATTTGTGCTCATTACCTGTGATCTGGAAAAAAATGTCCACTCTAACACTAAGATGTTATCTAATATAAGTACACAGATTTACTTTAGTTGCTGCTATTGGCATTATATTCCATAGTTTCTCAAAATAGGTAACATCCAGAGGGGAGGAAAACTCTCATCACTTTTACTCATTCATCTGCTATCAAAAGGTACTTCAAGCATATTTTTAAGTATCATGTCAAATGTTTCTCAAAGTGTTTTAATTTCCAATTTACCTACTTATTTATTTCTTCCTTCACTAATTCTTTTAAATCATTATCAAAATATCTTGACTTCTTTCTTAATAAAAATTCTGCCCTAGACCTCTAGCCAATTTAGGAGGGCTCTAATGCTTTAAGGAAAGCAGTTCAAGAAACTAGTTTGTCTCCCAGGGCTTCAAATAATATTTCGTCAGAGACCACCTTCCCCATTTCCCAAATCCTTTATGTCATATTTAGAGCATTCATGAGGCTGTGCTTGAACATACTATACTTCTGACATCTCCTAGTACCATCATTTAGTGTATTTTAAATCAGCCTTAATTTTTGCCGTTATAAAACAAAAAAAGAAATAAAATATGTAAGAGCGTAAACCTGAAGTGTCATGATGACAAAGTTACCAATGATCTTGAAGCAAAACCAAGCATCCTTAGACATAGGTATGTGGAGAAGCCACTGAGTAGTCTCAAAGGTAAACAGCATTCAACATTATTCAGTGAACAGAACAAACAGGAAAAGTAAATGTAGAATGGGTTACAGAACAAAAATATCATAGCTGGAAATTTACCTACGTCAGACCCGCAGAACCTCTGAGGGCCAACAGAAATTCTCCAGTCTTGTCCTTTAAAAAAAAAACATTGCTAAAGTGATGAGGAATCACTGGAGTGTAAAATGAACAAAACCCATGGGCAAATGTTGTTTCATTATGGCACTCTTAAGTAGATCTCAGATCAAGTTAAGCACTGATACAGTAAACTAGTTATATTTTCCACATATAAAAAACTTTGAAATTTAATAATCTGAGACTTTTGTATATGATGACAGTTCCCCCTCAGTAGGTTTTGGGACTTTTTACAAATTGGGGGTGGGGGTAGTGGTCAGAACAAGCAAGGGGACAGACAGCTAGCCCCTTAAAAATTCCCTGAGTATTTTAAACAAATTCAGTAAAAAATGGACAAAACCAGAGCAGATAAAGTGAAACGTCACCTCAACAAACTGTGTGGACAATAAACTCCAGTGATTTTCATGGGGTACAACTCTACCCTGAATATGCTCATTGAAAAGAAGCTAATCTTGAAAAATGCATGAATAGATTTACAGCAATCTAAACCACCTGATTTTATTTTTTTCTTTTATTAACTGGAGCTGGTGTTATTCACCTCACTCAATGGAAGCAAGGAGTGTGATAGTAAATAGTGTATAAAGCTGGAATAATAGCATCTCCAAGGTAGCTTTCCATCAAAACTGATTGTTAAATTGCAGAAGCAAAAGACTATTATGAAACCACTGCAGTCACAGATCATCTTAGAATATCAAAATAATGCCTTGCAAAACAACACATACTAAGCTCATGTACATATTCTTGTACTAAGAAGGAAGATTTCCTAAAATAAATTTAACTATTGATTTGTGGAAGGATCAGGAATTCAAGATAATATTTTGAAACATGAGTACATTAGGCTTAAAACTTGATTATTATTTATATATATAAAATTATTTCAAGATATAAGTTGTGTTGTGCTCTGTTAGTGTTTTGTTTTTTTTTAAAACTTAAATTATTGCATCATCTGAAATGTACTGTCCAAACTTCTATTCCATTTTGAGTACACATTCAGCTGAAGACCTCATTGTAAGGTGCCTTTTACCTAAGCAGAAGTCAAAAACTTATGATATCTTTGATTCATGTTTGACAATATATAAATAAGAGGATCAATGTTCACATGCTGCTACCCAATCTTTCCTTAACTGCAGAAATGTAGTATATGTGAGATGCTGTTGAAAAGGAAAGAAAGAGTGCAAAATTGTCTAGAGGCAACGTATCTGCAAGAATTATAGTTACTGTGGTAAGCAATGTATTCCCCTCAGTTAAACACATGTACATAAAGGTACATGCCACTCTGTGCGACACAAACAGGGTTCAGCTGACACGGAAGCAAGATACCTTACGCAAATAAGCAGTGACAAAAAAAAAACCTCCTTCTCAAACACAGATTCTGATCACAAGCCTCCAAGAGCAAAAAACTTCAGGAAGGTATAGACAGGATTACAAAGGGCTGTACTGAAAAGGGATACTGTCGAAGTACTAGAAGAGTATGGGCCAGTCACAGGACCACAGGTTGGCAGGGACCTCAGGAAATCATAAAGTCCCACCTCTTCCTCAGGTCAGGGCTACGGTCAGCACTGTGTCACATGAGGCTTTGGCTAGCTGAGCCTTGAAAAATTCCAAGCACAGAGATTCCAGAACCTCCCCAGGTAACCTCTTTCAATAGGGCCCTTCTCTCTTAGTCCACAACAATTTTTGTAAACATCTCCTTTAACATACTAAGTCTTATCATCTCTAGATCCATAAGGTTCCCCAGCACTGATTACTAAATATTTTTATTGCATTGAATGTTTAAAAAGATCTGTAGGAATTTGGGGAAAATACCTCCACATGGATTATATTTCAAGTCAAACTTCATCCAAAAGATCTAGACAGGAACTTGAGATGGTGCAAAAAAAAAGAACACAATACATTGTATATTTCATTTTGCAGTTCACCTGAACATATTATAACTATTTTGTGGAAAAAAAATTGTATGCAAAAAGTATACATAACAAACTAGCTAAAATAATTTCTGGTTTGACAATAATTTTAAAAAACCAATAGGCATTGTGATACTGCTTTAGGGAAGTGATCCTGCCCCTGTACTCGGCACTGCTGAGGCCGCATCTCATCTGGATTATTTCTGGATTATTTCCTACATATTTGAGACATCATCAGGTAACTTGACCAAAAATACTCAGATGTAAACTTCAGAAAACATACATTCAAAATTCTAAGACTTTGAATTATGCAGAAACTCTATCACTGCCTACAGTCAATATTTCCTGACATTATTTACTACAAGACAAATATTTGTTTTTTAATTTAAATTCCATCAAAACTTCAGAGTTGCACACCTTACATAATTTTTGAAGGGAAGCCAAAAGCAACAGTAATACTGATATTTCTGAGAAAAAAAATGTTGGTTTCTCTATGTTAAACCAAAAAAAAATTAATTTCTTCCACTCTTCAGAGCAAGAATTTGAAAACAGGGTTGCAGTATCACAGACAACATGTTCTTTGACATCCTTTCTAGCTAAAAGTCTCAAACCTAACTTTGGCCAAGTTCATGTATTCAGATCACATTCACTCAGAGCACACTAAGAGTCTGGCAACTAAACTGTGTCAAAGTTTAATGTTCACTCAGTATGTTCTATGCCTAAACTCCAGACTTTCTCCTGTCATCCTTATCCTGAAAGCCATGGCCAGAGCTGCCTAGGAATAAGAAGTGAGCAGATACTTCTGTGTCTCTCTCTCAGTGCCTTCCATATAGCATCATGCAGAAAGGAAGAAAAGGAATCAACTTTCATGGGAGAAATTGGATTAAACTAGAGGGAATACACAGAGACAAGGAAACCACTAGCCAAGTGCAGAAGACTGCTCCTAGAAATAGCAACAGACTGCTTTAACCATCAGAGTAGGTAATACAGGGGAACAAATGCCATGTTAAGTATTACTAGGTTCAAGAGAGTGATGCACAAGAAGAGAGACAGAACAGAACTTATAAGGATAACAAAAGAGGGAGTGTGATTGATCCTTCTGTGTTTTTACGAAGCCACGCTCCATATGCTTGATGTTCAGATTCCCACTCATCTGTGGACAATCAAACAGTTTAGAGACTCATTAGCAAAACATACATCTTATACTTGCAAACTGACTGACCTACAGAGGGAATAACCATCTACATCATGGCTATAAAGTACTTTTGCTAAAAGTAGCAATGCATTTATATTGCAAATCTGAAGAGTTTGAACCAGATGAATATGCAATTTATAGCACGCATGCAAGGAATTTTTTTTTCTTGCTGTTTTTCACCATTTTGTTATTCTAAATCTCTAGGATGCTGCATCTAACACAAGACTAGAACACTAGAACTATAAACTGTAACTATTCCAAAGTTAGTAGAAGACACAGTTACTGTTTTCTGGGCAAACACAGTTCAGCTCGTGGTACGTTTATACTATGATACCCCAATTCTATTATCCTACTTTTCTACAGGACATTTTCCTATGCAGTGCATGACTTCAGAAGTGCAGTGGTGATGAATTGGTGCTGTGTAACAAAGAAGCCGCCATCTTTAAGACTCCTACTTCATTTGGTACAGCAACTGGAGCCCATGAACAGAAGACGTTTCAGTACAAAAGGGAGGAGAATAGTATCAAGATTAGTATAACAAAAAGCTACAGAATTAAGACTTTGCAATTGCTACAGAGATTGTATTATGCTGATGAAGTCATGTAAGTAAAGTTTACAATGAGAGGTGACTCCTTTGGTCTTCATTCTCTACGTGTTCCACATGAGCCACACAGCTCTATAATGATGCGTATTCTGGAAAAAGACACACCGAAACACACCCTAGACAGTGATTTTATCTTGTTATATGCTGAACAAGATGAACACCTGAATAAGAATGTGTTTCACTTTTCTCCAATTCTCTAACATTAAAATGGAAATCAAATACCAATTCACTTCACTGGGAGTAAGGAAATACATTTTTGTTTGTGAATCACTCAGAGGTAATAAGGAATATTAGAGAAAAGCCAATGAGGAATTTAACAATTGCATCATCATAGCAGGGTTTGAGTAATACAAGAAAGGGAGAATACATGCCGAAAGTCTCAAGTTAAGTGAGGATAAAATACTGCAGATTTAGTGAGTATCAGCAGGTTGCCTCTTCCTCTCTTTAACAGCTTAAACATTAGGCATTAAGTCTAAGATATTAAGAGCATTTGCAGTGAAACATAAAAAAAGAGTCCCAAGAAAATTCCACTTGATGTAACTCCTCCTTTGCCATGAAGATGAGGGAGGCTAGACAACCAGATCACAAGTCTCCTTTTTATACTGGAGGCTGGGTGGATCTCCCCCCACTGTCACGTCTGCAGAGCACTGACTGTGGTTGAAGGCCCCGATACAGCACTGTAAATCACTAAGTACTATAATTCATGAGAAATCATCAGAAGTAATAAAAAATGCACTTCAAGAAATATTAACAGAAATGTAATTAAAACTGGATAATCTTTCAGGTCTGTAACTAAGACACTTAAAATATTCATTCTCAGCAATAAATACTGAGCAAATAAAATCACTCTCTACCCAAAGTAATCCCAACAGAATCCTCTCCATTAAGTTCTTATTAGCTCTGAACCATCACACCTTGCTGACACCTGTTACTATGAAGAGGAGTTAATTCATTAGAAGCTGAGAGTGTGGTTGGGAGTAGTAATTTTTAAAACATGTTTGCTATGAATGTTAACTTCTTGGAAGTTTCTCACAAGCATATCTGGGACAGGGAAATGTGAATACATGCTGTACAGGCTATGTGTATCTTTCCTTATTGGTAAGCACAGCTCTGACAGACTATGGCCTCTGCTACCCTTGATGATAAAGCCTGAAAATGAAAGTAGAAAAGAGTGAAGAAGGAACTGCTGACAGGGTAATTGACTCTAATTATAGATAATTTATTTTTTTAATTGAAAATTGTGTTGCACAGCAACCACATATATTTTTGCTGGTTCTAAGTGAAAGAGACGAAGAGGTCACCCCGCTCCCAGTTCACTCCCTGCAGTTGGCACTAGGCTTCTATGTCAGATTTTTACCTGCTCAGATCAGATATGAAAACTTCCAAAGTTTGTTAGCCTGAGGTAGTCAAAATCATTCCCATTCAGAAGAAGACAATTTAGTGACTCTAGATTATTCTAACTTAGAAAGTAATTAAACAAGCTGTCAGTTTATGTATCTGAGAAGATACGGATTGTGAGCAGCTGGAGGCCAGTTAGGGCTGGAAACCACTTAAACCAGCTCAGCTGTGACAAAAAGGAAAAAAGTGTACACTAGGAGGGGATTAACAGACCTTATCTTTAAATACTGCAACATCATCTTGGAGAATGATGAAGTATCAATTGATAAGGATTTTAGAATGATCTCCTCCAACACTATTGGCATAAAAGCGGGTGTATACATAAGTTCCCTGACAGTAGTCTCATTTGGTTTTTTAACCTGTACTTCCCACATCTCAAAAAAATCCAATATTAACCTATCACAGACATGCAACTTTTCAGTTCTTTTTTAATCAGGCTCCCTTCTACTTTCTCTTTTTCACATATATATTATAAAGTATGTATTTTGATTTCAGAAGCAATAAACATGTTTCTACCTTCACTGAATTTCAAAAAGGAGTACATCTGTGTAACACTCACCCTGCTGGATTCAGAAAGAATTTAAAATTTAGAGTAAGACTTTCCCATCTGAAGTCAAATCAACAAAACTTCCAAGACTAACAACACATCTCAGGTACTGATTAGCAACACAAGCTTCAAAATCTAAATATTGTTTCATTTCACTCTTAATTATACATAAAGATTACCATAAGGAAGCTTTATACTAACCCAGAATAGGTGAGCTAATTTCTATCTTGATTGTAAATATTTATAATATACATGAATAACTGAAGACTGTTTCTGAATCTTAACAAGTTCTTTCTTAATAATCTCAGTGGTACAAATCTCAATTACCAGATAAATCTTACCACTTTTTACATTTACTGTCATGGGTTTTTTTCTTTGTTCTCCTGCTACAGCATATCAAAACATACATGCTTAGTACTACTGATCTTTATCCCTTTCATCGCCCTTTTGTACAATGTTAAATTTCCTAGATCTCTCAAGAGTGTTAAAATATGCAAACTGTTTTGTTTTTTTTTAACTAGCCTCTTTCAGGACATTCACTCATTTCCGCTATGATTATTTTAAGCAAAAAATGAAATTATGTATGGGTAACTTGCAAATTAGCATGTAACATGGTAAAATCATGTCCTCGGTACTATTCTGCACCCCTAAGTACAGCCCAGCATTACAAGACTTCCATTCAGTCTCTGTAGTGTGGTTCCTCTTCCCTATAGAGTTGCAGCGAGGGAAGAGGGAAGAGCTTGTCACAGCTCGGCACTGACGAAAGGCTTTTTCTGCTTCCTCACTGCATTTTGTCACTAGTCAGGGGAGCTGAGCAGGCATAAGAAAAACATCCAGCAGAAGCAGTACCAAAGCTATAAACAGTTTCCTCCATGGCCTTTCATAGAGAGAAATACAGTGTAAGGCAGGAAAATATCAAAGAAGCAGCTAGAGCCTGTTGCACACTAACAACCCCAGGTAGACTACATTTATCTGAGTAACTCTCCAGCTGATTTAAACTGCTCCACAACAGAAGTTCTAAAGTAATCCCTCAATTCCATTAGTTTGAAAAGGAATAAATTGTGCACATTTATGTCAGTTAAATTCTGTTCACCTAAAAGTATTACCACGTGATTTCTGTCAAGTAGTTTAACAAACATTCAAAGGAAATGATGCTGTTCTGGAGTTGTCATAACCACATCTAACACTTTTTTTAAGAGAGGTATCAGCTTAGTGCTCTGTTGTCATTAAAAAAATTTGATAGTTTACTTCCAGTTTTGGTCCATCATAACCAAGATGTTTTATCAATAAATTGCTTTATCCAATGTCTTCATGTGTTAATTTCAGTACATAAAGAATTAAATTATTCCTACAGTCCTCTCACTGCAAAGAGGCAAGCACACAACCCCCCCACATGAGTACATACCTTTATTCTATGAAATCGAACAATATCCCCAACTTTGTAAATTTTTGGTAGGGAATCTAGATTTCCATTAAAAAGAGTGCAAGTTAACTTCACATTTGATGAGTCCACAAGTGTTACAACTGAGCAATAATCTGTAAAATATAAAAGTGTTTGAATGAATAATAGGCATTATGGAGTTATTAATACACAGATTTTAAAGTTGGAATGAAAACCATACAGCGAATTTTTTCTGCTATGATCTGTGTAATTCATCTGAAGTCCATTTAGTTACAGTAGCGTAACAACTGAAGTGTGACCCATCTTGCTGATAATCAGCCCAAATAACAGAAAAGGAAATGGGTTAAATAAACAGGTCTGTGAGCCAGGAACACACAACTTTTTCTTCTATCTGCAACAGGCATGCCATTTTTTCAGGTTCCAATTACTTCCTCTATAAAATGAGGAGCATATGTACAATCTTGTACAATCCTTTTCTAAGATTTATTTTTACACTGCCTTCTGAAGAGGTAGTGAGTTCTACAAGTTCTAAAATCAAATTAAAGCATAAATTACTTATCTTTCACTTCAATGAAATATGCAAGATATATATTGAAAGTCAAAACAAGACAACTGTCATATGTAAACTGTGAACAGATTACCTTAAGATAAAGACATACATTAGACTGGATTAAAATAGTTGCTTGTATGTGCACTGCCATTGCCTACAAAAGAAATACTCTATCATTTCCAGCAAATACACCCTTAAATATTACCATCATTAAAACTTAAAAGTTTAAATTCTCTAACAATTTGAGTGACTGAGGTGTTGAAAGAAGAAATCCAATGAAGGCTCATCAAGAAAAATAAAACTACTTTTCCTACAGATATAAAAACCTACACTATTTCTATAAACCCACTACTCTTCTTCCTCCTCAATATTTTTTACATAGACTCAACAATGATAAACTCTCATCGTTGCACTCAGAAGTTGCTAAGCATCATTCTCTTGCACACTCCCACGGAAGGCACACAGCACCTATTCTGACGTTCTATGCTAGGACAGGCAGACATGAATAAAGTTTAGTCAGTGGCTGACAACACTGCAAGTATCGACTACTGTAATCCAAAGTTGGATCATTGTATTTCTTTGGGTGTGAATTCTAGAGGCCAATGTAACAGGTCAGCTGCAAAGCGGTATGAGCAAAATGAGCAATTAAGAAGAAAAAAAATCATATGGTTCATAGATTTACAATCCACTGAGGACAGAGGATAACATCACAGTGCAGCATTGATTTAATCCAACACAGGAATCAAGAGTGAAATAACAAAAAGGCTCCACATTAAAAATGTGGCTATTCTTTGATGCTGTGATTATATAACCTAGTCAGCTTCGTACATGTGCAGCTGCCTACTTAAGGGGGAAGATGCTAACACACTCCCTCCATTTTCTGTGCAATTAGTGTACTCAAAAGACTAATAATCATCCTACTCATAGTAGTATAAAATATTTTACTTGCTTTATATAGTCAGGGAACACCTTCTACATTTCAGTTTCTCTGGCTCTGTGATTTCAGACTTATCCTTAACTATCAACTCAAAACATCACTTCTACAATAAACCTAATTAAAATAGAGCTCCTCAAGAACAAAGCACAAAGATTGATCTTTTAAAGAAATCCTCATCCAGCAAGTCCTTCTTGAAGGTTAAAAATAAAAAGCCACCTGTTCTTTCCTTCTCCAGCTGAAATGTGAAAATCGCTTTGTTTTCCACATCAGCATTATAGTTCAGTGACTGAATTCACTTTTCTGCACAAATAATAGGACTCAAATGTTAAATAGAATTGCTGAATTTAAATAACGTCCTAGTGTTATAAAAAACGATATAAAAATGTCATTGCTTAAACTTTTGATTTTTCATAATACACTTTTCAATAAAGCCAAATCACTCAGCAACCAAGCTAAAAAAAAAAATAAAAAAAAAAATTAATGACAGCTTATATATTAGATTCACAGTTGTCTTTTACTAGATAAAATTACTCCACTGATTAACTTTTTTTAAAGAAGAGAAACTTCACCACTGGTAATTTTTACATGAAATAATCTGGCTTAAAAATATGACACAATGGATGCACAGTTCAGTAAATTTATACACTATAAAAGAGAGTTTTTCCTTTCATACTAGATTGACTCATTGGCTTTAGGCTGACACAACACAGAACTCCAAACTGCATCTATACATTTTTTTAAAATATACTTATTATTAAGTCTATATAATAACGTATTATATTGTATAATAATTGTATATAATATATATATAAAATAATTATTGTATATAACTCTCTCGACAGGCTGAGAGAGTTGGGGCTGTTCAGCCTGGAGAAGAGAAGGCTCCAGGGTGATCTTATAGCAGCTTTCCAGTACCTAAAGGGGGCCTACAGGAAAGCTGGAGAGGGACTTTTTACAAGGGCGCGTAGTGATAAGACAAGGGGCAACAGATTTAAACTGAAAGAGGGCAGATTTAGGTTAGATATAAGGAAGAAATTTTTCACTCAGAGGGTGGTGAGGCACTGAAACAGGTTGCCCAGGGAAGCTGTAGATAGCCCATCCCTGGAAGTGTTCAAGGCCAGGTTGGATGAGGCTTTGGCCAACCTGGTGTAGTGGAGGGTTTCCCTGCCCATGTCAGGGGGGTTGGAACTAGATGACCTTTGAGGTCCCTTCCAACCCTAACCATTCTATGATTATGAAAAGTTACTCCCACTCAGGCTTAACATCGTGTGAGGCATCACCAGCAATGGAGAGCCATCTGTAAGGATGCTTATACCACCTCAGAATTGGTGTTTATGAAAACAACAAGGAGAGAGAAGTGATGTTCAGTTTAAATAGAAGTACAGAGTGAAGTATGTCTTACATGCTTCTTATATCCTTTCAGACTACGCCTTACTGTTCTTTAAAAATACAATAAAACATGTTACTTAGTTTTTTATTTCATCTCATAAAAAACTCCACAGCTATTTGGTGAAGCAGCTTTTTAGAAAAGAAATTTAACAACAAAATAATTCATTATTATTGCAAGGACAATCTTAAAATCAATAAAATTCCAAGTCAAGATCAGTAGAAGGTTACGTTAACTACATGGAGAACGCTGATCTCCAAGCTTCTAGATCCTGACTTCAAATTGTTTGAAATATGAATGTTCTGTAGCCCTGTAACAGTCATTGAAATGATAAAGTTTCCTCCACTGTGATGACAGCTTATGTTCGTTCTTCAGGTTACAGCTTTCTCTTTATAAATGCCATAGCATTTCCACTCTTTTCTGGACTGTTACATCAGTCATTAGCATGCTCAGAAAGTCAGCATCTCTCCACAGCGTACGGATATATTTATATTAAAAAAACAAACCACGAACAAAAAACCCAAACCCCACAGCTTCACTTACAGATTTATTTTTCAGTCATCGCAAGAAAATCAAAATTGCTACAAAAGCTTTCCACATTAGTAGTTACTGATGTTGTAGGAAGTCATTTAATACTTACTGATTAAACATTTATTGTAGTTTTACTGGGGACTTCAGCAGTTCCTAACAAATATGTCTGTATAAATTTTTAAGATAGAAGCATCAATCTAATTATGAATCTCCTTTTGGGCAACCACATATGTATTCCTGACTAACATTTAAGTGGAAAAACTCACTATCCCAAATCAATAACTTCCCCCTGCAAAGAGATAAAAAGCTTTCCAGCAATGTTGTTGTCAATGAGGGACTCTAATTAGAGATTGCCTTCTGTTTCTTATATTTCAATACATATCAAAAAAGAGACAGAGATTATTGTAGCAAATTACTCTGTCTTCAAAATTACACCAAACATTAATATTGTTTTTAAGAATTACTGAGGCCATTCAATACAAGTATCTTTGTACTAAAATCAAGCAGTTGAATCATCTAACTTAGCAAATATGTTCAACAAAACACAGGAAGAAAACCAATATGAATGTACACAAGCTCCTGTGAGTGTGTGTATATATACGTACATACAAACACAGATATTGTAGAAGGCCAAAACAAAATCTCTAAAGAATCAAACTGAATTCAGTAACTACCAGAAGCATCTGGCTAAACAGATGCTTTAATGACATCATTTGTAAATCATAGACCAAAGTAACTGTCTTGAGATTTCTTTCTATTAACTATTTATTCAACTAGTTAATTTTTCATTTCCTTTTAGAAGTTTAACTTACATTTATCTTCAATATTAGATGATAGGAAACTGCAATTATTTAAAAATGAAACACATTAAAAAAAAAACACATAAAAAAGAAAAACTGTGAATAGAAGGGAAAAAAACATTACTCTCATCTTTAGGCTCCAGAAATGAAATCACTATCCTTAGCTCTGCAACAGTTTTTATTCTGTTCTGTAAAATTTAAATACATCCTCAATATATTGATTTAGAAAAAAAAAAACAAACCAAGAGAACACAATACTTTAAAGAACAAAACTCCTGCAGATTTAATTCCGAGTCTGCTTCTTCAGAAATAAACCATCAGATACCACAATAGTCTGTGATTGGTTTGTTTTGCACTCTAATGTTAGTTCGCTATTACTTACTAAAAATTTACTATTTTAATTGAAGTTGCCCACATGATACAATTGAATGTTTTTTCAGGTACATAGTTTTAAACAAATTCTGAGCTAAAAATGTTGATGAACTTGGCTCAAGATCAAATAAAAATTGAAAATAAAACTTAGGGCTTCAAAATACCTTTAAGAATCTGATTTATGGTCCTTAATTGCATTTTGGGCATGTAGAACTGCTGACCTGGAACTATTCAAGGTTTTCAGACATGTACTTTCTGAAAATGCTACATTTATTCATTTTGATTCTAAAAAATATTTCATGAAAATAAAATAGTTACCATTTACATGCATGTCTAGGTAGGCTAAAATGAGATTTTAATTCAACACGTGACATATGAATACACTGCATATATCTAAGAGAACAAGCTAGGTGGAGGTTCCCCAGAAAAATAGGACATTACTCTTATGACTTATTGTTAACCAGCAGCAAGGATTCTTCTTCCCATAATTCTTCCTTGCATTATGGAAAACACTGACTAATATCTGCAGGGGAAAAAAAAAAAAAAAAGAGAAAG